GATATGACCAGGGATGGGTCCAATGTGGAAGGCAATGTTACTGTCTGCGTGCTTACTTTCATATAAGAATCAAAGTCCTTTACAGGGAAACCATCGAGTAACTCTAAATCAGTTTTCAAAGAGACAGCTCCCTGTGCACTTTTCCTAAATGTGAAGTCTTCTTCTATCCCCGCACTCAACTCTGAACAGACATATAGATGGGAAGATCTTCATTGAAGATCAACCTTCTGTAATTCTTGGCCCTTCTACTTCCCCGCCTGCAGAAATGACCTCCCCCATCCATTCACAAACAGGACTATGTGTATTCAATGTTCATTGATTTTAGCCATTCTCAGAATGTTGGGGAGAGAGAGAGTCAGACAGAAAGCTCTTGCATTTATGAAATGGTTCACCCTCCAATGAGAACGGCTCGGCACGCTGCAGCCAGCGCACCGCGCTGATCCAATGGCAGGAGCCAGGTACTTATCCTGGTCTCCCATGGGGTGCAGGGCCCAAGCACCTGGGCCATCCTCCACTGCACTCCCTGGCCACAGCAGACAGCTGGCCTGGAAGAGGGGCAACCGGGACAGAATCCGGTGCCCCGACCGGGACTAGAACCCGGTGTGCCGGCGCCGCAAGGCGGAGGATTAGCCTAGTGAGCCGCGGCGCCGGCCCTCATTTTTTTTTTTACAGAATATATCCAATAGCTTATTGCAAATCTTCACTTGCAAACACTATTGCCTACTCACACCTAGGCTATCAAACCAATTCATCTCCTTTTCTCCAAAAGTGACTCTCTTCTTGTCTTTTACCTTTCTATTACTACTCTCCCTATCCAAATTATCCAAGCCAAAAACACCAACCGGAAATTCCTTTCCTCTCATTGTTGCACTGTTAATTTGAAGTCTCTTATGCAAGTGATCTACAGTCATATTTTATCTCACTAGGTCATAAATTCCTTGATAGTTGATACAGTTTTGTATACCCTCTGGTGTCTGCAGCATGATTAAATATTTGGTAAATATTGTTAAGAGAATATATGAACAAATGAATAAAAAAATCAATTAGCCAAAGAATAATGAATTAACCTTTCCAATCAGATTAAATAAAAACAATACTACATACCTTTTTATTTAGACAAAAGAAAACCGTACCAATTTGAAGAAAAGGATGAGACCAAAGAGAAATGAAATCCAGAGACTGAACAGAGCTAACGATGGAAAGAAAGGAGACAACTGTCTGTGAGAAAGTGGGGAACATACGAGCATTGGGTATGAAGTGTCCCTTATGCAGCTGTGGGTGAGAACTGAGTCTCTACAACACTGACATCTTTAAGGGAAGAATTTGCAACCAACATAGTAAAAACCATTGCTTTCTCACTAACTAGTTGGTTATTATTTTAAAATTTCCCCCTACCAGCTTCTAACTCACTCACCTGAAAAAAGATTTCTTCTTATATCTCCTTTGCCCAGCCACGGCTCTTTCCCTTGCTCCAATAGGGAAACCAAATCTGGCTTAGAAATGGAAAGACCTGCTTACAGAAAATGAAATGAATTCAACATCAGTCATTAAATCCTAAATGAAGTTACAGCCCCACCTGGAAACTAATTTTCAGAAACCCATCCCTTACTTGGGAATATTCAGCACGTAATGTGGATTGACAACAGCCTTTCAAAACGCCAGCTCCTGCGGCCAGCACTGTACTGGGTTAGGCAGCTGCCTGCACCACCAGCACCTAAATGGGTACAGGTTTGAGTCCTGGCTGCTGCACTTCTGAACCAGCTCCATGTTAATGCACCTGGGAAAGCAGAAGATGGCCCAAGCCCTTGGGCCCCTGCACCCACATGGGAGACCTGGAAGAAGCTCCTGGATCCTGGCTTCAGCCTGGCCCAGCCCCAGCCATTGCAGCTATTTGAGGAGTGAATCAGTGGATGGACGATCTCTCTCTCTTTCTCCCTCTCTCTCTGTAACTGCCTTTCACATAATTTTGAAAAATATTACCAAAAAAAAAAAAAAAAAGAGGAATACTTACCCAGCGAAACCAGATGGCCATAGTTCTCCAACATCACACATCTGTACAGATCTCTTTGGGCAGGTTGAAGCCATTTCCACTCCTCCTGGGAGAAGTCTATGGCCACATCTCTGAATGTCACTGACCTCTGAAATGACAAACATATATCTATACAACCAGCACCCTTGCCCCCACAGGCCTTGATCAAGGAGGAAAGAGTCTCATTGTGGTGGGCAGACGAACTGTGTAAGTAAAAATTATATAACTAACGTCCTTTTTTGTTTTATTATATAACCAGAAAAAAAGAGAACTGATCTGGGACGATTTACAATTTTGCTGAAGATAAACAATTATCTATAAAGTGCATTGACTTATAGCTTTGGTTGTAAATTTTCTTAAAATGTTCTAACATTGCATGAGTAGTAAAGACTATTCCTTTGAGTTTAATAAGCAGTGTCTATTTTACTTAACACCAGTCCAATGACTATGAACTGGCCAGCACGTCTTCATGATAACTGGCTAAAGCAGTAGCACCCTTCGAAAAGGAAATGTACTCCAGTTTATCACGGTTCTCTCTAATCCTGAAGAAACAGCTATAAGACGTAGCAGCAACTTTAGCAATGACACAGAACTACTAGCAAGAGGGATATGCAATCAAGCGCATGGGCCTCCCAAGGAGGCCACGCACTGCGTCCCAGGTCAGAACCAAACGTCGTCTCCGCGGACTGCGGGGGCTCATCTACAAGGCTTTGCTCTGCAGCCTGGCCACTCGAGTGACCCCGCCAGGCAGGACTGTTCCCGACTTCGCCCGGCGAACCTTCTCCAGGAGAAGCGGGAGGCGGGAGACCTGGCCCAGGCTGGCCCCAGGCTGCGGCTCAGCGCTCTCCGGCCGCCCGCCGGCCCGTCGGGGGCCCGCGCTCACCCCAGCCCGAACGGCCCCAGCGGCCCTCGCTCCCCACTGCCGTCCGCCCCGCGCGCGGTCTGCCTCGCGTGGAGACCCCGAGTCCCCCCACCTCCGCTACCGAACAGCCGCTGCACAACGGAACGCGGGCGGCGGCAGCTCGTGAAGGAAGGGAAGCGGCTTCCCGCCTCGCGCGGCCGCGGACGAGGCCTGGCGCGCAGAGCTGCGGGCCCGTCAGGCAGGTCGTGCCGGAGGGAAACCGCGCGTGAGGAAGAAACGAGGGCGTCAGCTTACCTGCGACATGGCTCCGAGGGCAAGAAGGCCGGGGCCCGAGCTGGCCGGCGGTGCCCCCGGCCTGGGTCCTGAACCCTCTGGAAAGGGAGGCGAGGGGGCCCGCGGGCCCGGGGGCCCGGCCCCGGGTCGCCCAGCGCCCCGCGCGAGCTCCGCGGACGGTGAGCCCGATCTGCTCGCTCCGCGAGGGCACAGGACGCCGGGCTGGCCTTTCCGCCGGGCGGGTGGCCAGCTCCCGGGCTCCGAATCGAGTCACCGCCACAGGCCACCCAGCGGGGCTCCCGCCCCTCCTACCGCCCCGGACCGACGCACGCTACTCTGGACCACACCCGGAAGACCGCTCCAGTGTCTCAGGAATTGTGCCTTCCGAGCCTCATCCCGGAGCAGGCTTCGGGCCTCACGAAACTACACTTCCCAGAGAGGACCGCGGCTGTCTCTCTGCCACTACAACTCCCAGCCTGCCCCGCGGCCACGCCGCATAGCGCTAACGCCAGACCTCGGGCCACAGACGACTACACTTCCCAGACGCCACCGCGGCCTCCGCTGGGACCAATGTAACATTTCCCTACCACTACAACTCCCAGAGAGCCCCGCGGCCACGCCTACGTCGGCAGCCGACTACACTTCCCAGAGCCCACAGCGGCCGTCCGCGAGGAAGGTGAGGGCGTTTGTCCTGTGATACCTGCCGGCGCCGCGGCGGTGCCACCGCGCGGGGAGGCAGAGACGGCTGGAACAGGAAACCCACACTGCCCCGAGGGCGCCGCGACCTAGCGCGTGGGGCGATGGGGCGTTTCTCTCCTGTTACGGCGCCCGCCCGTGGGAGCAGTTCTCTTCAGACCCCGTCCGCACTGAGTACCTGGGTTTGAGTCCTGCTCTGGTTTCTGACTGCAGAATCCCTCGAGAGGCAGCAGTGATGGCTCAGTGATGGCAGCTGGCCTCCTACCGCCGCTGTGGGCAACTCTGATGGCACTCCTGACCTAGCTCCAGCCCCAACCGGGACCAGTCATTGGAGACCAAGTGGGGTTGGCGCGCTCTTTGCCTCACGTATAAATAATAAATGCATAAGTAAATAAAATATAAGACCCAAGTATATGCTGCATCAAGAAACTTTATGGACATATAGACGGCAAATGAAAGGATGGAATGAGATTTTCCATGCAAATGGACCATCAAAGTAGGCATAACCATACTTATATAAAATAGATGTTTTGTTTTGTTTTGTTTTGTTTTTGTTTTTGACAGGCAGAGTTAGAGACAGAGAAAAAGGTCTTCCTTTCCGTTGATTCACCCCCCAAATGGCCACAACGGCCGGCGCGCTGCACCGGATCTGAAGCCGGGAGCCAGGTGCTTCTCCTGGTCTCCCATGGGGTGCAGGGCCCAAGCACTTGGGCCATCCTCCACTGCACTCCTGGGCCACAGCAGAGAGCTGGACTGGAAGAGGAGCAACCGGGACAGAATCCGGCGCCCCGACTGGGACTAGAACCCCGGGTCCCGGCGCCGCAAGGCGGAGGATTAGCCAAGTGAGCTGCAGCACTGGCCTTTTTTCTTATTTTTTTTTTTTAAAGATTTATTTATTTGAAAGTCAGGGTTACACAGAGAGAGAAGGAGAGGCAGAGAGAGAGAGAAAGGTCGTCCTTCCTCTGGTTCACTCCCCAGATGCCCGCAACAACCGGAGCTGCACGGACCTGAAGCCGGGAGCCAAGAGCCTCCTCCAGGTCTCCCACACGGGTGCAGGGGCCCAAGGACTTGGGCCATCTTCCACTGCTTTCCCAGGCCACAGCAGAGAGCTGGATCGGAAGTGGAGCAACCGGATCTTGAACTGGCGCCCGTAAGGGATGCCCACTACGCCACAGCACTGTAAAATAGATGTTAAATCAAAAGCAGTATAATAAGGGCTGGCACATGGCGTAGTGGGTAGAGCTAATGCCTGCATTGCCGGCATCCCATACGGTCATCGGTTTGAGACCCGGCTGCTCCACTTCCAGTCCAGCTCTCTGCTATGGCCTGGGAGAGCAGTAGAAGATGGCCCAAGTCCTCGGGCTTCTGCACCCTCATGGGAGACCTGGAAGAAGCTCCTGATTCTTGGTTCTGAGCTCATGATTCCAAATTCCTGCCAGTGTGAACCCTGTTAGGTAGCAAGGGATGGTGTGAGTAGTTGGGTCCCTGCCACTCATGTGGAGACCTAGCTTGAATTCCTGGCTCCTGGATTTGGCCACAGCCCAGGCCCAGCTGTTGTAGGTATTTGGGAGATGAACAGTAGATGGAGCTCCCTGTCTGTCTCTCCCTCTCCATCTTTCTGCCTCTTGAATAAAAGCAGAAATATCTGAAAGAACTTAACAGTGTACCTCAAGGAATTAGAAAATTGGGAAAAAATTAAACCTAAGAATAGGAGAAAGAATAAAACTCAATTAGAAGGGAATAAAATAGCAGCTATGAAACCAAAAGCTCAATGAAACAAGGAGCTGTTGCTTTGAAAAGACAAAAAAAATGATAAATCCTTAGCTAGGCTAAGGGAAAAAAAAGAATCAAAATCAAAAAGGAGAGTCCAGTGCTGTGGCATAGCGGGTAAGGCCACCACCTGCAGTGCATCCCATATTGGTGCCTCTCCTCTCTCTGTGTAACTATGACTTTCAAATAAATAAATCTTAAAAAAAAATCAGAGAGGAAAAGGAATACTTTACAACCGATACCACAGAAATAAAAAAGGATTATTAGAGATTATTATGAACAATTGTATGCCAACCATTTTATAACCTAGAAGAAATGGAAAAAATACTGAACTCATACACCGTATCAAGATGGAATCATGAAGAAATAGATATATAAACAGATCAATAAAGGAGTAGAAAGATTGAATTAATAATAAAAGTCTCCCAGTCCACCCCAAAATCCCAGGAAAAGATGGTTTCACTGATCAATTCTACTAAATATTTAAAGAAAAATTTATAATATAGTTTAAAGAAATTGTGTATGGAGTGAGAAGGGCATTCATTATGGCATGTAAGGTACTTGGACATAACACATCTTCAGCTTACAGGATCTACAATGCAGCTGAAAAGCAACCAAATTATTTTTCGCTGAAACCAGACATTTTTATATGAGAAATACAGTATGTGCTAAGATGTCCACTTTTCTAAACCTGTATTCAGATTTCATTCGGTGTTATCTTTATATTTTGTATTTTTTTATGTATAGGCTAAATATACCCTATTTACATTAATGTCAACTCATTACTTTTTTCCTGTGCACAATATACAAAAAAACCAACAGATGATAATTAAGTGAATTAAGTGTGTCTCCCTTGTCTTAGGCTATTCTGTAGAATGATTGCAAATTTCATAAACCTGAAATGATCACTACAGTTCTCAATATACTAATTGTGGATTAATACATTTTGATTTTTTATACCCTACAACTTTATGGCAATATGAGTTAATTACATTGGTAAGTATGAGATGTATAATTTATTGTTACTATTCACGTTTGATTTTTTTCTGTATAGGCAATATTATATTAACACCTTTTACAGATCTTACTGTAGCTTTTTCTATTTGTCTTGATTACTTAAAAAAGTGGAAATTATAAGGATTAAAACATTATGCAAAAATATGCATCAAAATTACTTCCAAATTGTGACATAAGGTGTGGTGTTTTTGGCATGAATCACCATTAACTATAATTTTATTGTTTTAGGTTAGTATTTCTTTATTAAATTGTCTATTTATAAGATGATGCACCTATATCACTTGTAGAAAAGAATTTAGGAGAGTTTGTCTTTTTTTAAATATTTATTTATTTATTTGAGAGGCAGAGATAAGATAGAAGGAGAGACGAAGAGAGATCTTTCATCCACTGGTTTACACCCTGAATGGCTACAACACCCAGGCCAAAGCCAGGAGCCAGGAGCCAGGAGCCAGGAGCCAGGATCTTCTTCCTAGTCTCCCACATGGGTGCAGGAACCCAAGCACTTGGGCCATCTTCCACTACTTTTTACAAGCCTTCAGCAGGGAGCTGGATCAGAAGTGGAACAGCCACTTCCCTAGGGAAGCGGTTTCCCCATGTGGCCATCTAGGGAATAAATCAGTGGATGGAAGATCTGTCTGTCTCTCTGTAACTCTTGACTTTCAAAGAAATAAATCAATCGTTTAAAAGATAGTTGTGGCCGGCACCGCGGCTCACTAGGCTAATCCTCTGCCTGCAGGGCCGGCACCCCAGGTTCTAGTCCCGGTTGGGGCGCCGGATTCTGTCCTGGTTGCTCCTCTTCCAGTCCAGCTCTCTGCTGTGGCCCGGGAGTGCAGTGGAGGATGGCCCAAGTGCTTGGGCCCTGCCCCACATGGGAGACCAGGAGGAAGTACCTGGCTCCTGGCTTCGGATCGGTGCAGCGCCGGCCGTTGCGGTCATTTGGGGACTGAACCAAAGGAAGGAAGACCTTTCTCTCTGTCTCTCTCTCTCACACTAACTATGCCTGTCAAAAAAAAAAAAAAAAAAAAGATAGTTGTAGCTCTTCTGATTATTATAGTAGCTATTAAGTGTGCCAAGAATCTGTGATGGGTGGAATCATTAGCAAAGCATTTAAATCGCTTGAGTATTTGATCATGATTCACTATTAATGAAGCACAAAATAATCTTGTTAGAAAGTGTGTGTTTTGGGGGGCTGGTGCTGTGGTAGAGCAGGTAAAGCTGCTGCCTGCAGTGCCAGCATTCCATAAGGGCGCCAGTTAGAGTCCCGGCTGCTCCACTTTTGTTCCAGCTCTCTGCTATGGCCTGGGAAAGCAGTAGAAGATGGCCCCAGTCCTTGGGCCCCTGCACCCACGTGGGAAGACCTGGAGGAAGCTCCTGGATCTTGATCGGTGCAGCTCCAGCCATTGCAGTTAATTGGGGAGTGAACCAGCAGATGGAAGACCTCTCTCTCTGCCTCTCTTTCTCTCTGTGTAACTCTGACTTTCAAATAAATAAATAAATCCTTAGAAAAATGTGTTTTTCAAAATGAACATAAGGGCTTGCATTGGGGCATAGTGGATAAAGCCGTTGCCTACGATGACAGCATACCATATAGATGCTGGTTGGAGTCCCAGCTGCTCCACTTCCCATCCAGCTCCCAATAAAGGCCTGGGAAAAGCAGTGGAAGATGTCCAAATGCTTAGGCACCTGCTACCCATGTGGGAGACCCAGTTGGAGTTCCTGGCTCCAGATTTAGTACTGGCCTAACTCAGGCCTTTCTGGCCATCTGGGAAGTAAACCAGTGGATGGAAGATCTCTCTCTCTCTCTCTCTCTCTCTCTCTCTCACTGGCTTTTAAATTTAAAAAATTTTTAAAAATGTGTAAAATAATTAAATGAATTGTAAAGTGGATTTTTAAGAACATATAGTCTGTTTTTGTAAAAGAAAAATTATTTTTTAAAGGACACTATATTTTAATTTTTTTTTGACAGGCAGAGTGGACAGTGAGAGAGAGAGACAGAAAGAAAGGTCTTCCTTTACCGTTGGTTCACCCTCCAATGGCCGCCGCAGTCAGTGCACCGCGCTGATCTGAAGCCAGGAGCCAGGTACTTATACTTGTCTCCCATGGGGTGCAGGGCCCAAGCACTTGGGCCATCCTCCACTGCACTCCTGGGCAACAGCAGAGAGCTGGCCTGGAAGAGGGGCAACCAGGACAGAACCGGCGCCCCGACCGGGACTAGAACCTGGTGTGCTGGCGCCACAGGCAGAGGATTAGCCTAGTGAGCCGCTGTGGAAGAAAAATTACTTATTTGTAAGTTATCATTAGAGAGAGGGAGAGCCAGATCTTCCATCCACTGGTTTTAGTCAGTTTTCTGTTGCTGTAACAGAGTATGTGAAGACAAGGTAAGTTACAAAGAAAAGAGTTTAATTAGCTCACAGTTCTGGATCAGGGAAACTGAAGATCAGGTGGCTGCACCTGGCAAGGGACTCCTCTGTCATAACATGGAGGTCAAAAGCAGAAGGGCGAGGGAGCACACGACAGTGAAGGAGGCAGCAGGGTGAGGGCAAGGATGGTACCAGAATTGCTTTATAACAACTCCTCTCTTTTCAGTCCCTCTGAGGTGGGAATGTCCAGCTCATAGGCCATATAAGGCCCACAGAATCATTTGGTTTGGCCCTGCCAAGGCAACTATACATGGGGTTTGAAATTCAGCACATCAATAGCAGAATAATGTTTAAGTGGATAATTTTGCATAGCCCGCAAATGCGGTCGTAAATATCCAACTGGCCCTTAGCAGAAAACAGGTTCCCCACTCCAGGCAAAAACTCACTCTGGCAAGAAAAATGTTAATTCTGAATGACTTCATCTCTCACAGGCTCCAACATATCTCAATTCTGGTGCTGCACTGGGGATCATGCCCCAGTATGAGATTCATGGGGACAAACAAAAATATTCAAATTACAGCATATATGCCTTTGGAAAAAACAACAACAAAAACCATTTTCTGGTTTTTATCAGGCCCTGGTAATTATGGAATACCTAAGCAGAGTACAAGTGATCATATGTCCAGTACTGCCCTTGATAGACTGTGTCATGTCAGGCCTGCAAATATAAACTTGGGCAACTGCAACTGTTAAGCATTTTAAGATGGAAATGGTATATCCAGGATCAAGTATGAACAGGACTTAAGAAAGCCAAACAAGCCTCATGAGGAAGTAGCTCACAGGACACCTAAGACTCATCACATTTGTACCAGAATTCTTCATTTTATGCCTACAAACGGTACAACCAGATTCAGGTGAAAAAAGCCTGAGTTCTATCTACAAGTCAACTCAGTGTGTGGATGCAAGCATGAAAGATAGCAGCTGTACTGCATCCCACTCACAGGTGGCCTTGCAAACCGCAGAAGGGCAAATCTCTCATCATGGATGGTACCCTGGGAGATACACTTGGCTATTGTTCTGTGCAAAAAGGAGGTTTAAGTAAATGTGGACTCACGGTTTTATGGCCTGGCTAGCTTTCGCAGGGAATCGAAGGGGAGAAATGGGTAGATTTGGTATAAAGAGGTCTGGAATACATGCATGTCATGAAGATCTTCGTGTCAAATGCTACTGTTGATCAGACAGCATCTCCCGTAGAAGCAGCAAGACACAACCATGTAAGCAACATGATCTGGCTAAAATTCCACACAGTGCTGGACCAGTGGGGTGGCTGCAGTGGCAAAGATGGAACTCGCGTGTAGAATCTCATTACAAGGCTGATTTAGCTGATGCAAGCACCAAATGCCCAGAACAAGGTACCGTTCCTTGAGCACCAATTGGCACTTGGTGTTAGGCTGGCTATTTTGGCCCAGAAAAGTCAGTGGTTTATTCTCTCATGAAGACACACTTTCCTGTGCACAGGGCCTCAATTAGTACCACTGCCTAAATCTTGCTTACAGAATGTTTGATGTAACAGTCTGGGCTCCCACTCCCCACTGCAGCAGACTAGGGGGACCTACTTTGTAGCAAACGGCATACAAAAATGTGTTCATGTCAAAACAACCCACTTGTATCACATACCTCACCCTCCGGTACTGCTGGCGCCAAAGGGCTTTTAGTGAACATGTGAAGGAAAAGCTGAAGCTCCCAGCTCAAACGGTACTTCTGTGTATTGCGGGTGGGGTGGGAGTGGGGATGGAGGGCAGGATGTTGCCGGTGGTTAGCCACTGATTGGGACAGCCACATGCCATCTGAGTGCCTGAGAGTCTCACCTCCGCTCCCATTCCAGCTTCCTGTTAATGGACACCGTGGGAGACAGAGGACAGTTCCAGCGCTTGGATCCCTGCCACGCAAGTTGGGAGATCTGGATGAAGCTCCTGCTTCCTGGATTCAGCCTGGCCCAGCCCTGGCTATCATGGGCATTTGGAGAGTAAACCAGCAGACTGAAGTGCAGGCTTTTCTGTTACTCTTTCAAATAAATAAAAACTGACTTATCAGGGAAGAGTCAATTCCCAGCTCTAGCTCTTGACTTGTTTCCCACCCAAGCAGACCCTGGGAGGTAATGATGGCTCAGTTAAGTAGGTTTCTGCCACCCAATGGGAGATCTACATTACATTTCTGGCTCCTGGCCCAAGCATTGGCACAACCCTGGCCATTGCATACATTTGGGGAATTGGTAGATGGGAATTCAATCTCTCAAATAAAAAAATAAAATTGTTTTTAAAAAGTTATCTCCTGAAGGCACCATCTTTTAGGATGTAGTATATGAGCAGGCCAAAAGCCTTACCATGCAGCTGCGTCCCCAGGGGGACCATACAAGACTCTGGTTCCCCTGGATGAAAGCAGTAGCCTCACCTACCACCATTACACTGCCCTTCTTGGAGACTTCTGCTTACCATACCCACATCGCTGGGTTCTGTAGGGTTACAGGTGGTGATTCCCAGAGGGGGCATCCCTTACACAAGAGGAGTTTTTTTTTTTTTTTTTAAGATGTATTTATTTATTTGAAAGAGTTACACAGAGAGGAGGAGACAGATCTTCCATCCATTGGTTCACTCTCTCAATACCCTTAACAGTTGGAGCTTGGCCAATCCAAAGCTAGGGCTTCTTCCAGGTCCCCCGCATGGGTGCAGGGACCCAAGCACTTGGGCCATTAGCAGAGTCAGATTGGAAGAGCAGCAGCCAGGACACGAACCTCTATGGGATGCTGGCACGCCAGGGAGAGGCTCAACCATACTATGCCAAAGCACCAGCCCTGAGTGTTTTAAATAACAAGCTATAGATATGACCCTTGTGACTCCTGTGTTCAAGAACTAGCAAGCCAGAAGAGGGGTTGCTGTCTTCATAGGGATACTGGACACAGATCAAAAGGAGGTAGGAGGGGCAAGGAAGGAAATGGGGGTGAAACTGATGATCTACCTGGATGCTTCATGGGACTCTGCTGCTCAATTGTGATGGTAGACATGGACAAACTTTACAGCACAGTGACCCTGGCTGACTGTAGGAGGGCCTGTGAGATGCCACTTGGCTAGCCCTTGCTACCAGAAGAGGTGGTACAAGCGTGAGGACCTGGAGTGGGTAACAGGGGACAGAAAGTTGACTTCAACAAGAGGTTACAGTTTGTCCTACTCATCTTCCTAACACTAACCCTAGCCTACAGCTGCAGATCCTCAACAAACATCTTCTGGGGGTGGCATTGTGGCAATGGGTTAAGGTGCCACGTGCAACACTGGCAATCCATAATGTGCTGGTTCAAGTCCCAGCTGCTCTGCCCCCAATCCAGCTCCCTGCTAATGTGCCTGAGAAAGCAGATGATGGCCAAGTATCTGGGCTACTGCCTCCTATGTGAGAGACCTGGATGGAGTTCCTGGCTCCTGGCTCCTGGCTTTGGCCAGGCTCAGCTTTGGCCTTTCCAGTCATTTGGAGAATGAACCAGCTGACAAAGATTTTTTGTCTTTCCCTCCTTCTCTTTAGCTTTGCCTTTCAAATAAAATCTTAAAAAAAAAATTGCACCCAGTAACTGCTTCCAGAAAATTCAGCTAATGAAAATGAGTCTTGGCCGGTGCTGCAGCTCAATAGGCTAATCCTCCACCTGCGGCGCCGGCACACCGGGTTCTAGTCCCGGTCAGGGCCCCAGATTCTGTCCCGGTTGCTCCTCTTCCAGTCCAGCTCTCTGCTGTGGCCCAGGAGTGCAGTGAAGGATGGCCCCGGTGCTTGGGCCCTGCACCCACATGGGAGACCAGGAGGAAGCACCTGGCTCCTGCTCAGGGCAGCGCCCCAGCCGCGCGGGCCACTTGGGGGGGGCGAACCAACAGAAAAAGGAAGACCTTTCTCTCTATCTAACTCTGCCTGTCAAAAAAATAAATAAAAAACATTTAAAAAATTAGTCTGACTTCCTCTTTGGGAATTACCTGGGTTGTAAATAACACACACAACCTGACCACGAGGAAAACATGAGAATTTATTAGACATCTGAGGTAACTCAAAGATTTTAACCATCAGGTCGTGAAAAAGGCAGAGATGGAAGTGAACATCAAGGTAAGTTGAGCCAGGTGCCAGGACACAATCAGGACTTTCTTTGCTCCCATGATGGCTTCACTCTTCTCACTGTAGACTGTTTTTCTCCACATGACAGAAAACCACCCGTATTTAATTATAGCTTCAGCTGCTAAAATTATAGACAAAAAAAGATAGTCCAGCTTTCCAGGAGCTTTCTAATATTAAAAAAGAGATTATATTATCACAATGATAATACAGATAAAAGGTTCATTTAGGTTGAACGAACATTAACAAGGAACACCGGTATTTCAGCTAGATATGCAAATGACATTAGATGAGAGATGTAGAATCTAAAGTAAACTATGAGTAGTTGGCCAGAAAACATCGAACAGGAGGAAAGATGAATGTTGACAAACAATGAGGGGATGGGCATGGGCCTGTGTAAAAGTCTTCAATACCATAAGGGTATTACACCTTAAATCCACAACGAACCACATGGTATTTCAACAAGGGAGTGTGTAATCTAAGTTGCATTTAAAAATAATCACTACACATTCACAAAATCTGAAAAATAAACTGAGAATATGGTTCAAAAAGTATACATACAGTGCCAAGGGTCATGGATATTTATAAGCACTTAGGGCAAGGCTAGATGCTGGACATCTGAAAGCTTACTGACATATATGCAGACTAACAAGCCCATTGAAATTGACAGCATATACATATATTGCTGGAATAAATGACCAAATGCCCGAGGAGGTCGTGTAAATTCCAAATACTTATTGATTTACATTCTATTTAATAAACGTTTTATTGGCTAAACCTGGCATCTTTGGGTTAATCTCAAGTTTCTACAAAAGATGCTCCTGAAGACAAAGTATCAGGAACACACAGAGCTGCAGGTAACTGTCAGATCCCAAAGAGACGAACAGAAGACACAACAGGGGACAGAAGCCTGGCCTAGCAGTTAAGGTCTGGTTAAGCTACTTGTGTTCTGGGATAGGCACCGTGGCATAGCAGGTAGAGCTGCACTCTGCAATGCCAGCATCCCAAATGGGCGCTGATCGAGTCCCAGCTGCTCCACTTCCAATCCAGCTCCCTGGCCCCTGCCACCCATGCAGATGACCTAGAAGTAGCTCCTGGCTTTGGTCTGGCCCAGCCCTAGGTGGTTGTGGCCATCTGGGGGGTGAACCAGTGGATGGCAGATCTCTCTCCTTTTCTGTAACTTTCAAATAAATAAATACATCTGGAAAAAAAAAAGTACTTGTGTTCCACATCAGTGCCTGCGTTTGAGTCCTGGTTCTAGTTCGTGATTCCAGCTGTCTGTGAAGGCAGACCCTGGGAAGCTGTGGTGACTGTTCAAAAAATAGGGGTTACTGCTATTCACAGAAGACACCTAAATTAAGTTTTTAGCTCATACATTTGTCCCTGGCTCAGCCCTAGCTCTTGCAGGCATTTGGGGAAGCCCATTTTCATCTCTCAAATACATAACAAAAATTTTTAAAAAGGCCCTTCTAACATAAGTGTCAAATTTCACATAAAAAAAACAACCCTATAACTTAGTAAAACGAATGCAAAGCAAACTCTCCTTTGTAGAACTGTGAACAATTCCAAGTCAGTTGAGGAACCCAGGTGGTAAAATAGGATCAGAAAAGTGATGTTTTATATTTGGCATCCTTCAACGTTTTATCTCAATGTAACTCACTGTGCTCCATGACATAATAGTCTGACTTTAAAATGGTCTTTCTTCTGGGATCTCTGGTAGGAATCAGTAAGGGGAAATGTGAAGACATGTTGTTTGTGGCTTTTAAGGTTGATATAAAAAACAGACACTAAAAATCTATAATTTCAAATTTAGAACTCTTTTAGACTTCAGAACAATGAAGAGTTCCAGTGAGTGCTAAACTGCATATATGGATGCTCAAACCAGTTGTTGGCATCAGCCCTATGAGTAACCATCTGATGATGCTCAGGAAAAATAGTTTTTTGCTTTTGAATAGTCAACCAATAATCTAGGGCTGAGGTTCCATTATACAGTAAAAGAACTACATTTAACTGCTTAATAGTCAAAGGAATAATCTAAAGTTGACGTGAGAAAATCAGGAAGCAGTAGTTTATTTCTAAATTCTGTACAAGACCTCATCAATCAATCTCTGGAACCAGGACAGAGAGTCACCATACACGGAAGGAGTAAAATTGGAACCTCCTTGCTATTATTTGTTCACAAAAGTAACACCTCCCTGCTACTATTTGTTCATTTAAAAGGTATGTCTTCCTTACCTAGAAAAATGAGTTTTAGATACTAGAAAAGGAGGAAGTCCATAAATCTGAGTATGAATAAGAAAAAAAAAATGGGTAACTGGATGATTTTAAAATCATCCACGAGAAAATAGATTTTGGCTATTGAAATTCTGGCATGGTGCCATAGAAAATTATTTTCATTTACTTAAAGTTCCAACTCTCCAAAAATGTCAGAAAATTTATAATTAAGAAGAACAACTGCAAAAATCAAAGGGGCAACACCACAACGACACGATCTGTGCGCAAGGAAGTCCGACATCGTTTGTTTGGATCCAGCTCACTGCTGGACTTTTCTGAATTCAATCGTTATACAAAAATATTAGCTTTTTTCAAACACTACAGAGAAAACACTACACAATTCTAAATTGGCTAAATTAGTTCATGCATTATTAAAGGAAAGCATACTTACAAAATGGTAACTTACCAATGGGAAATTTCTTGCGTGAATAATACAGTTGTTTATAAAGAAAATGAAATACAAACATTTCAAATAATAATGGAAGTCTTGTTTAATACTTGTTCAATATCACAAGAATTTGCAAGAAGGCAAAATGCAGTGCCCTGGATGTGTAAAAAATATTTCCTCACCACAAAGTCCTTTATATTTTACATCTTCTAAACAATTACTATTAATCCAGTTTCTAATTTATTTTATGAAACACCAGAAGTAACAGCAGCAAAAAACATCAAGATCTCATCAACTGTAAATTAAAATATAAGTGGTACTTGGGCTACACAGCACTTAGATGTACTTGACTAAAGGAGGCATCACACTAAATGGTGGTGTACAGCACTGCTGTCATGTGAGTGCTGAGTAACACAGCTGCCATACTTCTCTTTTGCTCACAGTCTATCACTGTTATTCTGTGGTTCTTGCCCTTGCATAACTATAAACAGAACTTTATATAAACTTTCTCGGACTCTGAAGATGCAGAAGACTTATTACTGAAGAGTTAAATAATAAAAGGTCTCTTATATGTGTCAACAAATAAGGGAAAAAATATTACCTAAGCTATTTATTCAGCAATAAGCCAAATTATATGTTTCCAAATTTTATAGTACAGAAACAGGAAAATCAGTGGTATGAGAGACATCAGAGGCACGATATGATATATGCACTTCATGCTCTCAATTACATTAAATTGTCATCTGCAATACCAAAAAAAATTTGTGATACAGGCATAAGTACAAATATGTTTCTTATTTAGATGTTTCAATTATTTAATTGTCATGTATTTTTAAATTTCAAAGTGAGTATCTGTCAACCATTGGAACTGGCTATTTTTGGTACCCATGTCTAGAAAAAGTATACACTGTCTCTTTATAGTACCACTTTTAGGAACACAGGTTACCAGCATCTTTTTAAGGTTCATCAACAATATGAATCCTCCACTATACAATATAGTTGGCTTTACTTGCTGAAGTTTGTCCCACATTTAGTATTTCCTTAAAATTTCCTAACAACATTTTCTTGTAATTAGCTATGATTTCTTGATGAAAATGTTGCCTTGCTTGCCGTATTTATGGAGTTTCCTCTCATCACTGTGGGAATATTTATAATAGCTACTGAAACCTGACATCTGGAAGTTTCTGATATTATTCAAATTATTCCACTTTGATATAATTTTGTACTGCGCAAGACTTGATGGTTTCAAAGGCTGAGAGCCACTGTGTTCAGTGGTTCACTTATGAATTCTGGTACAGAAGTATGCTTGTCTGGTGAAGGCATTCCTTACCTAACTTCATGTATGATCTCCATCAGAGACTCGTATCAATTGCATCCTTAGGACTTCTTTGCTGCGTGAGTTCTCCGATGATTAATGAGCTGTGACTTCTGTGAGAAAGCTTTCCCACATTCACTGCATTGATAAGGCTTCTCTCCTGTGTGAATTCTTTGATGATTAACAAGCTGTGATTTCTGAGAGAAGGCCTTCCTACATTCACTGCATCCATAAGGCCTCTCACCTGTGTGTGTCCTCTGATGTGGTATAAGGTGTGACTTCCGAGAGAAGGCTTTGCCACACTCACTGCATTCAAAGGGTTTCTCTCCTGTGTGTATTCGCTGGTGATTAATGAGACTTGACTTCTCCCTAAAGGCTTTTCTACATTCACTGCATTCAAATGGTTTTTCTCCTGTATGAGTTCTCTGATGTCTCATTAGCTCTGACTTCTCAAAGAAAGCTTTCCCACAAAGACAGCATTCATAGGGTTTCTCTCCAGTGTGAATTCTCTGGTGAGTATTCAGCTGTGACTTCTGGGAGAAGGCCTTTTCACAAACCCTGCATTCATACGGTTTTTCTCCCGTGTGAGTTCTCTGATGGGTTGCAAGACTGGACTTCTCACCAAAGGCTTTCCCACATTCGGTGCACTCGTATGGTTTCTCTCCTGTGTGTGTCCTCTGATGGGATATGAGATGTGACTTCTGACAGAAGGCTTTCCCACATACACTGCACACAAAGGGCTTTTCTCCTGTGTGAATCCTCTGATGGTTAGTGAGACTTAATTTTTCACTAAAAGCTTTCCCACATTCACCGCATTCATAGGGTTTTTCTCCTGTATGAGTTCTCTGATGTCTAACAAGCTGGGATTTCCTACTGAAGGCTTTCCCACATTTACTGCATATAAATGGCTTCTCCCCTGTGTGTGTCATCTGATGTGATATGAGATGTGACTTTTGGGAGAAGGCTTTCCCGCACTGGACGCATCCATGGGGTTTCTCTCCTGTATGGGTTCTCTGATGATTAATAAGACTTGACCTCTCCCTAAATGCTTTCCGACATTCACTACATTCATACGGTCTCTCTCCAGTATGGATTGTCTGATGTCTAATGAGCTCTGACTTCTCAAAGAAGGCTTTTCTGCAATCGCTGCATCCATAGGGTTTGGTTCCAGTGTGAGTCCTGTGATGCGTAACCAGCTGTGACTTCCTGCTAAAGGCTTTCCCACAATCCCTGCATTCAAAAGGTTTCTCTCCTGTATGAATTCTCTGATGATTAATGAGATTTGACTTTTCGCTGAAGGCCCTCCCACATTCACTGCATCCATAGGGCTTTTCTCCTGTGTGTGTCCTCCAATGTGATATGAGATGTGACTTCCGGGAGAAGGCTTTCCCACATTCGCCACATTCATACGGTTTCTCTCCTGTGTGTGTCCTCTGATGGGATGTGAGCTGTGACTTCTGAGAGAAGGCTTTCCCACACTGGCTACAGTCATAAGGTTTCTCTCCAGTATGAGTTCTGTGATGTGTAACAAACTGTGATTTCTGCAGAAAGGTTTTGCCACATTTACCGCAGCCATAGGCTATCTCTCTGATATGTCTGTTTTGATGTTTAATGAGACTTGATTTCTTAATGAAGCATTTCCTACATTCACTGCATTCATAGAGTTTCTCCCCTAAACGAGTTCTGTGATATATGACAATCTGTGTTTTTCTGCAGCTGTCATGATATTTATCAAATTCACAGTGTTTTAACCATGTATCAGTTTCATCAGGCTTGGTGTGGAGAAACAATTTATCAAACACAGTAAAGTCATCTGATTGCATTCTTCCATAATCTGTTTCTGGAATTAACAAATCTAAATTATGTTTTAAAATCAACCCATCTAAGTCGCTTTCATTGTGCGATTTCTTTAAAGGAACAAAGTTCATGTTCAGATTAAATTTTTTCCCAAATGCATCACATTCATAACTTTTCATATTTTTACGCTTGTCTTGGTTATTCTTGAAGCACATCATGTGACTATCCACTTGCCAGACTTCTTCTACAAAGGAAACAAAAAACCTGTTTGGTTCTGGTTGCTGGAGAAAAGAACCTAGAAATGCTATAATGAGGGGCTGACTGCTTTCTAAGGCTTAGTTTCATAGTATGAAGTATGTCCCAAGCATAATGTCTCCTTTAGGTACTGAAAAACAGGAGAAATGCTGAAAATGGGAACAGAAAACTGGCTGTAGTAAGACACCTCTGGTTGCTAACAAATATACATTTATTAAAGAGAATGTGAAAAGTACATGAAGAATGAGGAACAAGGAAAGGAGGCTGGATAAAGCCTTAATTCAGTGTTCTAAGAAATTAGTTCACTTGATAGCTACTGAGTATATACCAATTTCCAGATAAGTTTATGAAATATTGGAGACAAAAGAAAACATGATAGAAAAGCCCCTCTCATTATGAAGCTATACACTTTGGTAAGTACTATAAAGAAAATTAATATATTGAATAGAGAATTAGCTAAAACCATTTCAAGTTTGAAGAAAAACACTTTGTATATTTTTACCCATCCTCATATTTTCTGAATGTTTTATTTTTTCCTCTAAAATAACTACCAAAAAAGCCAGTTACTTCATGACATAGTCTCTAAGTTTTGTTTTTGTTTTTGTTTTTTATCTGAAAGGCAGAATGACAGAGATGGAGAGAAAGAGAGATCGGGAGATCTTCCATCCACCAGTTCATGTCCCAAATGTCTGTGATAGGGTTTGACCAGGTTAAACTAAGGGGCCAGAAACTCCATCCAGGCCTCTCACCTAGGTGGCAGGAAACCAAGTACCTGAACCATCATCTGCTACAATCCAGGCACATATACCAGAAGTAACCTGGGACAGGAGAGGAGTATCCCTGGGGATGAGCACTGTGGTGCAGGATAAGCCATGCTTGAGATGCCTGCAGCCCAGGGAAGCACCAGTTTGAGTCCTGGCTGCTCTGCTTTCAATCTCGGTCCTCGCTAATGTGCCTGAGAAAGCAGCAGAGGTTAGCCCAATACTTGGTCCCTTGCCACCTACCTGGAAGACTCAGATGGAGTTCCAGGTTTCTGGCTTTGGCCTGGATCAGACCTGACCATTGCATCCACTTGGGGAGTGAATAGCAGATGAATACTCTCTCTCTCTACCCGCCTCTGTCACTCTTCCTGTCAAATAAACAAATCTTAAAAAAAAAAAAAAAAAGTGGGGAGGGGGCAGCCTTGTAGCATAGTGGATATAGCTGCTTCCTATAATGCCAGCATCCCATAAGGGTACTGGATTGTGTCCTAGCTGCCCCACTTTCAATACAGCTTCCTGGTAGCGACCTGGGAAAGCTGCCGCAGACGGCCCAAGTCCTTGGGCCCCTGCCACCCACATGGTAGTCACAGATAAAGTTTCTGGCTCCTGGCTTCAGCCTGGCTCAGCCCTGGCCGTTCTGGCCATCTGGAAAGTGAACTAACAGATGGTTCAAATAATTAATAAATCTTAAAAAATAAAAGTGGAGTATCCAGAACTAAAAAGGCACTCCAATACGGAATGTGGGTGTCCCAAGTGGACAAGTTAACATGGTGCATCACAATGCCTGTCCCATGACACATTTTCTTTCTTTCTTTCTTTTTTTGACAGGCAGAGTGGATAGTGAGAGAGAGAGACAGAGACAAAGGTCTTCCTTTGCCATTGGTTCACCCTCCAATGGCTGCTGCGGCCGGCGAACTGCGCTGATCTGAAGGCAGGAGCCAGGTGCTTCTCCTGGTCTCCCATGGGGTGTAGGGCCCAAGCACTTGGGCCATCTTCCACTGCCCTCCCGGGCCATAGCAGAGGGCTGGCCTGGAAGAGGGGCAACCGGGAAAGAATCCAGCGCCCTGACTGGGACTAGAACCCGGTGTGCTGGCACTGCAGGCAGAGGATTAGCCAAATGAGCCATGGCGCCAGCCCAGAAATAGAATCTTAAAATCTGTGTGCATTTTCAATGAAACTGTCCTAAGAAACAAGTTTTTATTCCTAAAATACTGTTTGATATTCATCTATCATATTGTACTATTTTCATTATTCTAGACTATAATCACTATTTTAAGTGCTCTTCAAAGGCCTATTTCTTTTTAAAGTTTTATTTATTTGAAAGTCAGAGTTACAGTGAGAGGGAGAGACAAGATAAAGGGAGGAGAGAGATCTTCCATCTGCTGGATCACTCTCCAGGTGGCTGCCAATGGGTCTCCCACATGGGTTCAGGGGCCCAAGCACCTGGGCCATCCTCTACTGCTTTCCCAGCTACGTTAGCAGGGGACTGGATCAGAAATGAAGCAGTCAGGACCTGAACTGGCACCCATGTCAGATGGGATGCCGGCGCTGCAGACAGCGGCTTAACCTGCTGTGCCACAGTTTTGCCCCTACAGGCCTATTTTTCAATGGAAGCTCAGAATTTTCTGAGGTTATAACTAGTGGTATAAAAGGTAATCAAGCCGACACCATGGCTCAATAGGCTAATCCTCCACCTTGCGGCGCCGGCACACGGGGTTCTAGTCCTAGTTGGGGCGCCGGATTCTGTCCCAGTTGCCCCTCTTCCAGGCCAGCTCTCTGCTGTGGCCCGGGAGTGCAGTGGAGGATGACCCAAGTGCTTGGGCCCTACACCCCATGGGAGACCAGGATAACCACCTGGCTCCTGCCTTCGGATCAGTGCGGTGGGCCGGCCACAGCGTGCCGGCCGCAGCGGCCATTGGAGGGTGAACGAACAGTAGAGGAAGACCCTTCTCCCTGTCTCTCTCTCTCACTGTCCACTCTGCCTGTCAAAAAAAAAAAAAAAAAAGGTAATCAATAATGTGAAAACTTTTACAGATTTAAATGTCAATTGGGGCAACAGACAACTCACTGTTCACCATAAATTATATATCAGAGGCATAATCAGCAAGATTTCTTGACAGATTTGATTAGAGGATAAGGGAAGGCAAGGAATCAAGAATGATCCTGGCCGGTGCTGCGGCTCACTAGACTAATCCTCCACCTGCGGCACCAGCACCCCAGGTTCTAGTCCCGGTTGGGGCGCAGGATTCTGTCCTGGTTGCTCCTCTTCCAGTCCAGCTCTCTGCTGTGGCCTGGGAAGGCAGTGGAGGATGGCCCAGGTGCTTGGGCCCTGCACCCGCATGGGAGACCAGGAGGAAGCACCTGGCTCCTGGCTTCGGATCGGCCCAGCACGCTGGCCGTAGCAACCATTTGGGGGGTGAACCAATGGGAGGACGACCTTTCTGTCTGTCTCTCACTGTCTAACTCTGCCTGTCCAAAAAAAAAAAAAAAAAAAAGATCCTTAGGGGTCAGTGTTGTGGCACAGGAGGTTATGTTGCTGCCTGCAATGCTGGCATCCCATATGAACACCAGTTTGAGTTCCAGCTGCTCCACTTCCGATCCAGCTCCCTGCTAATGATGTACCTAGGAAAGCAGTAGAAGATGGCTCAAGAGCTTGAGTTCCTGCCACCATCATGGAAGACCCAGACACAGCTCCTGCCTCCTAGCCAGGCTGGCTATTGCAGCCATCCAGGGAGTGAACCAGCGAATGAAGACCTTTCTCTCTCTGTCTCTCCCTTAAAAATTTTTTTAAAATTACTGGGGCTGGTGTTAATGGCATGGCAGGTTAATGGGCATCCCCCAAATGGAACGATAGCTGGAGAACCAGCTGCTCCACCTCCTATCCAGCTCCCTGCTAATAAGCCTAGGAAAGCAGTGGAGGATGGCCCAAGTGCTTGGGTGCCTGCACCCACACGAGACCCAGAAGAAGCTCCTGGCTTCAGCCTGGCCCAGTCCTGGCCATTGCAACCATTTGAGGCTGACGAAAGACCTCTCTTTTTTTAAGTGAATAAAAACAATCTTTAAAAATAATCACCTGGTTCCTACCCTCTCTCCAGTCTCTCTAGATCTTCCTGGCACACAGACCTCCGGCAACATGTGCCTCTTTTCTATTCCTTAAATCACTAAGCCCTTTCCTGGCTTACATTCATATTTCTCATTCTTTTTGGAGTCACTTTTCCCTACTGGCTTCTGCAGTTATTTCTTTTATGGACTAAATGTGTCCCCTCAAAATTCACAGTAAAGCCCTAGTCCCCAGTGTAGTTTTATTTGGAAATGGGGCCTCTTAGCAATTAAGCTGAAAGGAGGTCATAAGTATGGGACCCTGGTGTGATAGAATTACTGTTTGTATAAGAACAGACAATAGAGAATGCTCACTACGTCAATACGCACGTACCAAGGAAAGGGCATGTGAGGATGCAACAAGAGTTTGATTTGGGGATAGCAAAACTGTTGTGGGGGGCGGCGCTGTGGTGTAGCCAGTTGGAGCCCTGGCTGATCCACTTCCGGTCCAGCGCTCTGCTATGGCCCGGGAAAGCAGTGGAAGATGGCCCAAGTCCTTGGGCCTTGTGCCCACGTGGTAGACCTGGAGGAAGCTCCTGGCTTCGAGTCAGCTCAGCTCTGGCCATTGTGGCCATTTGGGGAGTGAACCGGCTGACTGAAGACCCCTCTTATACTTATAGAGAAAAATTTATGGAATATAACTAAAGATATAACTGGAAATATTAAATTAAAAGCCTTTGCATCTCCGTGCACAAAGTTCAGTGACATATCAACTACAAAGTACTATACTGCGACCAAGTTTGGAACAGAACTTCAGAAAAAGGAGAGAAAACTTTAGCTGAAATATTCAAGGAATATTTTGTGAATATGAATGCAGTAAAAAGTGAGTTCCTATGGAAAAGATTACAAATTTCTAGATAACTACCACAGCACAATCAAAATTTCAGATGCAAACAAAAATGAATATTACAGGTCTGAAACTAGTGAGAAATGTTTAAGTGGAGCTAACCATGAATGGGGGTAGGGGAATTTAAATGAACAAGTAACGCAGTGTTACACTGTAGAGAGCCTAGAAAGAAGAGATCATAAATCTGAAGCAGATGCTATTAGTCTTACTAACGCCCTCAGCTAAATTCAGGGAATAACTGCAGTTTTAATGGATAGTTCCTGACATAGAGCCTACTAAAGGCACCTGCACTTTTTTGCCCAAAACCTTTCTTGGGCTGCAAGTGCAAGCTTGGTCTGTGTGCAGAGATGCTGGACATTCCAGTGGACTTGACATGTCTCAAAGCAATCCTTAACCATTGAGAAATAGGAGTTACAGAACAAATACATAGGCTTCCTGGTCCCTCAGAGGGTCAGAACTGAGGTACGTTTCCACAGTGCCTCAGAGGACTTTGGGCACAGCTGAGACCCCACTGCCCACAAAACTCCAAGCATTAACCCACCCAGCCTCATTTCACTTCCTCATTCTCCCACTGCACTGGTGAGTAAACTCTTGCACTCAGATACATATCTCAGGATCTGCTTTCAAGGAAACATGAAGTAAGCCAATGTCAAATGACCAGGGAGGTTTAACTGATCAATCTGTGCTAGATGCTACCAAAAATCAGATACAGTGGTATTATCTAAAATAATTTACAAAATATTAGAATCTGCATTTCTCTGGGAATTTGAGAACTTTGGGAATTTGACATCATGGGCCTAGTTTTAAGAGGGAGTTCAGGCCGGCGCCGCAGCTCACTAGGCTAATCCTCCGCCTTGCGGCGCCAGCACACCGGGTTCTAGTCCCGGTCGGGGCGCCGGATTCTGTCCCGGTTGCCCCTCTTCCAAGCCAGCTCTCTGCTGTGGCCAGGGAGTGCAGTGGAGGATGGCCCAAGTGCTTGGGCCCTGCACCCCATGGGAAACCAGGAGAAGTACCTGGCTCCTGCCATCGGATCAGCGCGGTGCGCCGGCCGCGGCGGCCATTGGAGGGTGAACCAACGGCAAAAGGAGGACCTTTCTCTCTGTCTCTCTCTCTCTCTCACTGTCCACTCTGCCTGTCAAAAGAAAAAAAAAAAAAAAGAGGGAGTTCAAAAAAGAAAACTTTAAAAAGATATTTTCTAAAGAGCAAAAACATGAATAATAAGAAAGGATGCCAGGAAGAGAGTATCACACTCCATGGTGTCTAATCTATAGACACACAAAGAACCAAACTGAAAAGAGAGAAAATTTGAGAAAAAAATGACTCCATTTTCTAAAATAACGAGGCTGAAAAGTGCGGTTTCTCAAGGTATACTTAAATTGAGGGGAAAATCAAAAGGTTTGAGTGTGCAATCAGTGGTGTCTTTGACCATATAGGAAGGAGGTACAGAGGAAATCAAACGTCAGGAGATGGAATACCAAGCAAGCAGTCCAAGTCCTAGAAGTGAAATGCAGGGAATAATGCCAGGGATCACATAAGCTACATATTTGATTTTAAGCTATGAAGAAGCCATATCTAAATGTGATACACCTGAGTTAGCTAATATCAACTCATCTGAATCACAACTAAAAATCTGGAGATTTTAAAGAGACCTCTAAGGCAGATTTTGAAAACAGAGCACATCACTGAGCAGAAATGACTGAGCTACCTTCTTCCAACCCAGTTGTCATATGCTCACCTGCAGAGTCTGGAAGTGGCATTTCTCCGTCTTCTATCCACGGCTCTTCTCCCTGCTCCAACTTGAAGATGACATCTGGTTTCATAACCTCATACCCTATTCAGGAAAAAACACAAAAGCTTTGGGCTCAACTGCTTGAGCTTTAGGGCTTCAAAAGAATGAAGCCACATTTCCATATTGTGGCTAACAGAATCCCAACAATCTGCAACTTTTATAATACAAGTCCAAACTTATTATACACTTCATGAGCTCTAGAGCCAGCCTAGCAGGGTTAAATTCCAGGCTCTTTTAGTAGCTATCAGTCCTTGGAAAGTTATTTAAACACTCTAGGCTTCGATTTTCTCATCATAAAAAAAGGATAATAATCATAACTTCTTTTTGTTTGTTTTTGACAGAGTTAGACAGTGAGAGAGACAGAGAAAGGTCTTCCTTTCTGTTGGTTCACCCCCCAAATGGCCGCTACGGCTGGCACGCTGCGCCGATCCGAAGCCAGGAGCCAGGTGCTTCCTCCTGGTCTCCTATGCGGGTGCAGGCGCCCAAACACTTGGGCCAGCCTCCACTGCCTTCCTGGGCCACAGCAGAGCTGGACTGGAAGAGGAGCAACTGGGACAGAATCCAGCACCCCAACCGGGACTAGAACTTGGGGTGCCGGCGCCGCAGGCGGAGGATTAGCCAAATGAGCCGCAGCACCGGCCAATCATCATAACTTCTACCTGGATTGCACTGATGACTGAATGAATCCGTTGGGGCCAGTGCTGTGGCGCAGTGGGTTAATGCCCTGGTCTGAAGCGCCGGCATCCCATATGGGCACCGGTTTGAGACCTGGCTGCTCCAATTCCAATCCAACTCTCTGCTATGGCCTGGGAAAACAGTAAAAGATGGCCCAAGTCCTTGGGTCCTTGCACCTGCATGAGAGACCCAGAAGAAGCTCCTGGCTCCTGGCTTTGGATCGGTGCAGCTCTGGCCGTTGCAGCCAATTGGGGAGTGAACCATTGGATGGAAGACCTCTCTCTCTCTGCCTCTCCTCTCCAGCTGTTCCATTTCTGACCCAACTCCCTGCTAAGGGGCTTGGTGAAGCAGAAGATGGCCCAAGGAAAAAAGGGGGGAGGGGTAGCACTGTGGCAAAGTGGGTAAAGCCGCCACCTGCAGTGACGCATCCCATATGGGCACTGGTTCAACTCCCAGCTGTTCCACTTCTGATCTAGCTCTCTGCTAATGTGCCTGGGAAAGCAGTGGAGGAAGATGGCCCAATCCTTGGGCCCCTGCACCCTCATGGGAGACCTGGAAGAAGCTCCTGGCTCCTGGCTTCAGATCGGCCCAGCTCCGGACATTACAGCCATTTGGGAAGTGAACTCGACCTTTATCTCTCTCTCTGCTTCTGCCTCTCCTGTAACTCTACTTTTTAAATAAATCTTTAAAACAAATATATATATATATATATTAAAATATATATAAAGCAAATAAATCTTTAAAAAACGATACTTTAAAAAAAGTAACCCTGGCCGGCGCCGCGGCTAACTAGGCTAATCCTCCGCCTAGTGGCGCCGGCACACCGGGTTCTAGTCCCGGTTGGGGTGCCAGATTCTGTCCCGGTTGCCCCTCTTCCAGGCCAGCTCCCTGCTGTGGCCAGGGAGTGCAGTGGAGGATGGCCCAGGTGCTTGGGCCCTGCACCCCATGGGAGACCAGGAAAAGCACCTGGCTCCTGGCTCCTGCCATCGGATCAGCGCGGTGCGCCGGCCGCAGCCGCGCCGGCCCATTGGGGGGGTGACCCAACGGCAAAGGAAGACCTTTCTCTCTGTCTCTCTCTCTCACTGTCCACTCTGCCTGTCAAAAAATTAAAAAAATAAAAAAGTAACCCTGACTTTCAAATAAATGCATCCATCTATGTAACGCAATTGGAACTGTATGAGGCTTATCGTGAGTTATAAGCATCAGGCACTACCATGTCTACCACCACTATTCCTACTTAATTTCAGAGGTTAAAAAAAA